TTTTCTTTGGATGATGCTTAGATATTTATGGTAATTAACATTTAGCCATGTAAACAATATTATATTGAATCATGGTATGAATGATGGAATATATATGCAAAAATGGGCCAGCAACAAGTTTGGTTATGGGTTTTCCTAATAGTAACCAGAGTATTTGTAACCAGCGTATAGAAACCATATTAGGGTGCCCATTAGCGACAGTTTTGAATTCTTAAAAATTTATTTTAGTGACCATACTGAGTTGGTTGCAAATCTAATTAGTCACGAATTAAGCAAGGGTTTTAACCCTTGCTAGTTTTAGCAACAAATTTTCCAAGGGTTCAAATCCTTGCTACCTACATATTCTATCGAATTTTACATTTCAGTGTAGCAAGGGTTGTAACCCTTGGTATATGTAGCAGGAGTTAAAACCCCTGCTACAACCCTTGGAGGGTACTTCCACCGTGGGTTGCTAAAAACCCTTGCTACGTGTAGCAGGGGCAGCATTGGGGAGGGTTCGTCCAGGGGTTGGAAAAACCCTTGCTACAAGTTGTAGCAGGGGTTATAACCCTTGCTATAGGTAAAAAAAACCCTTGCCATAGATCTCTTTTTTGTAGTGTTCTTCCTTTTATGTTTAATGTATATTTAGGCTGTAACTTTGTCTATTCTTGTTCTTTCTTTCTTTTTGAACGGAGTTAGGTTGGATCACTGCTGATCCTCCTTCAATACCCTTTTGTTACTATCTTTTCCCTTATGCTAATCCTTTATAACAAGAAGCTAGTGTTATTGGTAGTGAGGAAAGAAAGTAGTTTGGTTCTAGCTTTCATAAGTTCGCAATCATTCTGTGTGATTGTTTATTCTATGCAAGCCCCATCTCTAATTAGTGTAATAATTAGATGAAACTTTGTATTTCCAGCTTTCCAATCTCTGAACCATTGTATTTGCAGCTGGGCTGTCTGCCTTTCGTTTCCTGGGCGCTGAAATGTCTTTGGCCCTTTTGTTCTTTTTTCCACTCTCCTTTCTGCTTCTTGTTTCTCATGGCCTTTGTTCTTTGTGAGAAAGTGCTCAACTATTTATTTAAGGAATCCTCTGCAAGGTACCAACAACTAGCAATATAAAACTTGTTTATGATATATTCAAGCAAAATCTAGTCACTCATTTGTTTTTTTTTTTTTTATAGATAGTCACTCATTTGTTTAATAATGTATTTTCATGTTTTTTTTCATTGCAATATGATGATCGGTGAGTTTGTTTTAAATTAGTGTAATAACCAATTATAAAAAAAAACTCGATGGTTTGGACCGAACAACCCGCAACCCGACCTGTTGTAACCCGCAATCCGATCAACCCAAACCCGATTGATCCGCAACCCGATCAACCTGTAACCCGATTGATCCGCAACCCGATCAACCCGAACCCGATTTGCCCACAACCTGATCAACCCACAACTTGATCAACCCGATTAATCCGTGACCCGACTGAACCCGATCCGAACCCACCCGATTGACACCTATAGTCAGAAGTGATAAACTGACAAGTTCTCATGGGAGAGAGAGTGCTAATAAAGAAGTTTAAGACACAAACATTGAATTGGAAGATAAACAAACATAAAAAAACAATCAGTATACTACATATGGTACAATTTCAGGTTACATCACAAGGTTATCTCATCTTTACTGTGGCCAGTCTATGACTACACCCTGCAGACTGTTGAGACCAGAAAGGTCAGTCAACTTCCAGCATTCTCGGATGTTCACCACTGTCAGGTTCTTTAGACCAGACAAATCCGGCAGTCTCTCCAGCGACGTGCATCCAGGAATGACTAGCTGCTCCAATGATTCCAAATCCTGAAGGCCCTGAATCTCACACAGTCGGTGCATATCTGCAGCTACCAACATCACTAATTTCCTCAGCTTGGACAGACAAGGTAATGTACCCACTGACGGCAAGTCAAAAAGCTCCAATACCCTTAAATCCTCCAGATATTCCAGACCCTCCAAGTTAGCTATACCCTTCATATCCCAAACGTTCAACTTCCTCAAATTTGGAAACTGTGACAGATTAGGCAGCCCTTGCAGCAATGTGCATGCACCAACATTAAGTTCTGTTAAAGAGTCGTGTCGTACTTGGCCTCCATCTTCCTCAGGACCTCGAAATAATATCTCGGTGAGAAGAGGGCAATGCAGGATCTCAACCTTACTCAGCCTGTTCAGAGAAGCTAGATTGATGATGGGGAGTCTCTCCAATGCATACAGAGATTCAAAGTGCAAGTCGGTCAAAGAGACGAGGTCTTCGAGGCCGTTGATGTGAATCAAACTCTCACAATAATCTATCTTCAGACTTTGCAATGACTTCAGGGTTCCTCCGAGGCCTTCAATCTCCCGAAGCTTGGAACATCTGTAGAGGATGAGTTCAGCCAAATTTTCCAGATTGTCCAACTTTGGCAGCCTCTCTAGTTTGGGGCAAACGGAGATATGAAGCTCTGTTAGTGATGGGGGGAGCGAAAGAGGGCCAATGGTCGTAATGTTGGTTCCATACTTCACTACCAAAGACGTCAACTTTGACAGCTTCGACCACTCTTCTCCTGTGCCTGAGATTTCGAGCTTAGAATCTTCACAATACTCAAATGTAAATTGCTCTAAGTTTGTCAGTTCTGGAAGATTAGAGACCGAGACAGAGGTGCTTAGCTCCTTCAAACTTTTCGGAAGTTCCAATGCATTTTCTTCCTTCACTTTAATTGCTCTGAGGATCTTCAGAGATGGCAGGGTCACTATGTCGAAGAGAACTTGTCCCAAGTTCTCGCACTTGCACGAGCTGATATTTAGCTCCCGAAGCCCCTGAAGGATTCCAATACTACCCCCCACTATCTTCCTGATTCTGCAATTCTCAAGATTCAAAACCTTTATGTTCCTCAAATTGCCAAGGTCCAGGTCTTGAGTGGACCCTCTCAATGCATAAAAGTGTAAATGCTCGAGGCTCCCATATGTGGAAAGGTCAGGAAGTTTTGTTATGTAACGACAATATGCAAGGTCCAGAACTTTTAGCTTTGCTGCCATCTGCATAGAAAGTGGCAAGTGATGTCATCAAACACAGCAAAAAAAAAAAAAAAAAAGACCAATCAAATTCATGAGTCACCTAGCTAACCTTTATATGAGTCCACCCTCCCCAATCATCTGTGATATCGCTCCCACGGAGATCAAGAATGATCAATTTATTCAGGTGAAAATTGGTCAATTGGTCACCTGAATCTGCATGGTATTGCAACTGAAGCCATCTTAAATTATCAAGAAGATCACTGAAGTCTCCAGTAAGCTCCGTAGAATTTCCATCGAAGTATCTCAAATTAGACAAGTTCCTAAAATGCTCATTTGTTAGCTGACATGTCTCAGGAGATGAAGAATTTACTCGCAGAGCTTTAACTTTATCTGTTCCCTGTAAAAGCAGGCAAGGTTGAGTTGAATGCCAAAATTACAGTTAGAAGAAGTTCAAAACTGTAAGTTAGGTACCCAGCAACACTGCAAGACGGAGGTAAGTAAATAGCAGGTCCCAGTACATAATTTAGGGAAGATGTTCTTACAGCAAATGGGTTCTCTATGAAAATTTCCATTTAAGAAACCAACCATACACCTCATTTACGTACATTTATAGTGAACTGTACTGAAAGGTAATATATGAGGCATAACTAATCTCAAAATGTTGCCAACTAAAGAACATTCATGGTAAGACTTCTGTGTGTTACAGAGAAAAATAGTTTATAAATGCAAATACTAGAATGTGAAGAGTACCTTTTTGCCAAGTAATAGCTCCAAAGCATCCTCATCGGACCATATTCTACTTCTCATCCATGGATGTTCCATATCTTCCTCCCTGATAATTGCTTTACCCAGGTCTCTAAGTTGATCATGCATGCTGAACTCATTATTATCTCTGATCTTGATTATGGATCTTTGGACAAGAACATTAATACTACTGATGGGATAAAACTTACAATCACTCCACATGTAAGAAGCTTTTCTTTATCAGTTCCAACATAGAAACAGGCAATGTCAAGAAATATCTGTTTTGCCTCATCGTCCAATGTATCATAACTTATCTTTAACCGGTCTAAGACCTCTGTCTCTGGTGTTTCTCTTAACCGCAGCAATGTTTCTTCCCAAACTGCTCTATCTTCTTTAAACAGAAGTGAGCCTACAACCTTAATAGTCAGTGGAAGTCCTCCTGTTGTTGATACAATGTCTCTAGACAAAGCTGCATAATCATGTGGAGCAGAATCCTTTCTAAATGCATGTTTGCAGAAAAGTTCAAAGGAGTGTTCATAGCTCATTTCTCTCTCCGACTTCATATAGCCGACATCCTTCGAGTAAAGTCAGAACCTTAATATTTCTAGAAGTAACAATAAACCTACTGCCGGAAACGAAGTTTTCAGAATTTCCCAAGATGCCATCAAATTTGAACTTGTCATCTACATCATCAAGAACAATAAGAACCTTGTAATGGCTAACTCTATCTCTTATCATCCGGATTCCTTCACTAACATTAGATACAGGAGTTGCCTTTTTCGCAATGCCGGAGATTATCTTATTTTGCAGAGCAACGATACCATCCCTCCGTTGCAATGTTTCTCTTACATCTTCCACAAAGTAGTGACGATCAAAGTGAGCACAAACTTTATTGTAGACAGCAGTTGCAACAGTGGTCTTGCCGATACCACCAAGGCCGTGAATGCCAACAGTTGCCACAGCTTTAGAGTTTAAATCTAGTCTTTCAACTACTGCTTTCAAGTGCGCATCAATTCCAACCAATTCATCTGTCATTAATTCATAATTCTCACTTAGATTTGACCATATGTTGTCAAAACTTCATCAGCTATAGCCCCTTGCCTGAAAAATATGAACTTGATGTAAATGCCATACGAGGGATGTACAAGGAAAAGTATAAGCTGTCAAATAAATTTCCAAACCCTAAAGCTATGGAATCAGAGAGCTCATAACCTTCGTGGAACATGATTACAAGGGGTAAGTGGCAGTCACCTTATAAAATGGTAACCAATACAGGATTGAAAACATATCAAAAGAGAAAACCTAGCTTCAAATCAAGTTTTAAGGTCAATATTGAAAATTCTAAGGTTTACCATTTCACAATTAAGAAAAGAAGGCAAGTATTCAAGTAAGTACCCGTCTTTGTCTGTTACATGCCACCCTTTCAATTCTCCAACATCCTTGAGAGCATCTTTCCAAATTTGCAAGGTTTTGTCATCAAATTCTTCATGTGTCGCTTAAATGCTTCTTCATAAGCCCCACTCTGTTTCCGCACGTCTCTAGGGTTTACCTTATAGAAAATGGGTAAAATGATGCGCCCCTTGTCTTGCTTGCGGTACTCAACCATTTCAGCAAGCTCTTTGAGGCACCACTTACTTTCAGCATAAGTTTCTGAAAGAATAGGAACATAAATCCTGGATTCCTTCATGGCCTCCACCAAACTAGGCCAGATTCCTTCGTCCACATGAAGATCCTCATCATGTTTAAATGTGCGAATTTTTGAGCGAATAAGAAAATGGTAGAGGACGTCAGTGATCTCATGGCGGGTGTCTGGACCCCTAAAACTTAAAAAGACCTCGTAGTCCCCAGTTGGAAGGGGCAAGGAAGCATCAGAACCAGTAGTTGAAGCAGAAGAATCAACAATGCATGTAGATTCTGATAGCTGGGGGTTATTGTTGGAGGACCTCCTCCTCCTCCGGAATAGCCACTTGCAGATGAGAATCAGTGCGGGAAGCAGCAAAGCCGCCACAGTCGTCAAAGCTTCTCGTAAGTTCATTTCTACAAAATGTGCATTGAAAAACACAAAGATGTCAAAATTTTCATCCGATTCTGCTAAATCAGTCCCATTTACAGATGGGATGCTAGCATAAGAGTTGAAAATGTAAAATAATTGCCCAATTTTAGTGACATTCAGTATGGATTATCCCACAAAGCTATGTACCTGAAGGAAACATTGAAGAATGCAATCACAATGCAAACAAGTAGTCTAATCTTACAGGAGAAATGCGTCTGCTGTTCTCTCGGGTATGATAAGAACAACAGTCTAACTAGAGGAATATATCAGTCTAGTCTATTGCTTGGATTTCAAGAAATCATCGAATTCCTCCACACAGACACAGGACAAGGAAAAAGAAAGCATCTATCCTTTTTACAGAACACAAAGCAAACTAACAATACAAGGGATAAGTTTTCACACAGAAGAAAGAAATACGTAATACCATATGTGACTCTGAAGTTTCATACTATTACCATCCTCCGGTTAAATGTTCCATAATTCTTTCAGGGATGCTTCACACCACCAGAGGACTCAAAAATCATAAAGTTCGAAGACCAAAAATGGTAAAATGCAAAACACGAGGCAGAGGGGTTAATTGCAGAGCGAAGAAGTTGAGGAACCATAGTGAAGTCATCGGATTCTCAATCCAGACCACTGACCGTCTGAGCTTCAGTGAAGTCTAAGGTTTCAAGAAATTGTAAAATGCAAAACACGAGGCTAGCGGAAGAAAACGTACCACAATATCAAATGGGACAGAGAGAAACAGAGGTAAAATAAAGGCCGACGACTTGGAAGTACGGTTGTAGAGATCCAAATCGGCGGGTGAAAGCTGTACTAGTCGAAGTCTTTCGGGCCGATCACCGGCAATCATGCACCACGCAAATCAAGGGAGGGGAACTACTGCCATTGCATATCCGATTCCGATTCTTTCATTTTGTTTGCATGAGACCGAAGAAAGCCATGTTCTTTCACTTCCCCAGTTCACTGGCTCACTCGAGAAGAACATCAGTGGGACGGTGCTGGGCGCACCAGCATGGATTAGTGATGTGGTGCATTTTGCTGCCAAGAAACGTAATTGATGTTTCAGATGTGTTGCTTAATTGTCTTGAGAGATATGGTCGGCAGGTTGAAGCTGAGTCTTTAAGTCGATTGAATGAGCTTGAAGAGATACGAGAGAGGATTGTTGCTAGGAAAAAAGATGATGGTAAGTTTGTCAGATCGCTAGCAGGGAGCGGAAGAGAAAGCTAACGAGGGAGAATTAGGGCTTGGGCTGTGAACTGAAATTGTGAAATGGGAGAGGAAGAGGATGAGCGAGATTGATTTAACCAATCAGAAATTCAGAACATTACTTGATCCTGGGAACTGAATAGAGGTCTTCTGCCGACTGCCCAAACTCTGCTTCCTTGTCGCCCCCTGTCGTCCTACTCATCGCCGGCTGTCCGTGTCTCGGCCTGTCGTCCTCGTCACCGTCGGTCGTCCTTGTCGCCGGTTGGCCTTCCCTTCGCTGTGGCTCTTCCAACCTCTTCTTCCATCTGCCTAAGCCGCCGTCCTCGTCGCCGAGGCTTCCTTCTCTTGGTGTCAAACCAAACCGACGGTGGTTGTTCTTCCCTCCGTTTTGCTGAAAGTATCGATCAATTATGTTGTTCCAGGCTCGCGGTGCTTGCTTCAGGCCGTATAAAGCCTTCGTAGACGATAGACTTTGTCTTCTTCTCCTTCTTTCTCATAGCCTCGTGGTTGTTCCACATAGACTTCTTCTTCCAGTTCTCCATTCAGAAATGCTGATTTGACATCCAACTAGTATACTTGTAACTCCAGTTGAGTAGCTAGAGCGAGAACTGTTCTGATGGTATCCATCCTCGCTACTAGTGTATATGTCTCGTGAAAATCAATACCAGGCTGTTGTGAATAGTCTTTTGTCACCAGTCGAGCTTTGTACTTGTGGATAGAACCATCTTCATTGAATTTGACCTTATAGATCCATTTGAGACCTATAACCGGCTTGTCTTGCGGTTGATCAACAAGCTCCCATGTCTTGTTTTTCTCGATCATTGAAATTTCTGCATCCATTGCCTCAGTCCAGACTTCTTCTTTGGCTGCTTCTTCAAAGACTTGAGGTTCACAAGAAAAATATGCAACATGACTTGTTTCATAAATTTCTTGTAAAGACCTTGTTTTTAACAGAGGTGAATCCGAGTCTGTTATGATGTCTCTGAAAGAATTTCTTTCTAGACTTGCAACTGGATCTGGGTCGTTGCTGGGGTCTTCTAGAGCTGTTGAGTCCTCCAGAATTTCATAACTTGGTGGAGATTGAGAAATTGGATTTTCCCAATTCCACTCCGCCATCTCATCAATGATCACATCTTGGGAAACCACCACCTCGTGCTTTACTGGGTTGTAAAGACGATAGCCTTTGGATTCATCATTGTAGCTGGTGAAGATCAGCTTCTCTTCCTTCTGGTCAAACTTGTCTTGGTTTGGGATAGAGATATGTGCATAAGCTATGCACCCAAAGACTTTGAGGTGATCCACCTGTGGCCTTCTATGGTGCCACGCATGTATCGGTGTCTTGTTCCGTACTGCTTTTGTTGGTGATCTGTTGAGTATGTAAATTATCGTATTGACTACTTCTGCCCACAAGTTGTTGGGAAGCTTTTTTGCTTTGAGCATGCTTCTCGCCATCTCCACAATCGTGCGGTTTTTCCGTTCTGCCACGCCATTTTGTTGTGGTGTGTGACGGACCGTCAGTTGCCTTTTGATTCCGTTGTTGCGGCAATATTCCATGAACGGAGTATAAATAAATTCTCCTCCACGGTATGTACGGAGAGTTTTGATTTGATGGCCGCTTTCCTTCTCAGCTACTGCTTGGAATTGAAGGAACTTGGGAAAACCTTCTGACTTTTGCTCCTAGAAAAAAACCCACATCATTCTGGTGAAGTCATCTACAAATAGTAGAAAGTATCTTTTGTCGCTGAGTGATTGTGTTCGGGTTGGACGGCATATGTTTGCATGTACCAACTCCAGTAGCGCTTTTACTCTCCAAGATGTCTTTGGAAATGGTAAACGATGCATTTTGCCATAAATGCATCCTTCACAGATCTTGTCTTCTTTGTTGATCTGGGGAAGTCTCACCACCATATTTTTATGCCTCAGCAATTTAAGGCCCTTGAAGTTGAGATGACCGTATCTGAGATGCCATAGGAAGGATTGATCCAGATTTTCACTCTTGAATGCTACTTCACCATTTTGTGACATAGCAAAAGAGAAAATTATGTTGGAAGGCATCGGGACTTTGGCCACCATGAAATTGTCTGCTTTGTTGATAATCTCGCACACGCCATTATCAAACAATAGCTTGTAATTTTTCAGCATCAATTGTCCCACGCTAAGTAGATTGAGAGTTAGCTCCGGAACATACAAAACGTCTCGGATGAGAGTTTTGTTACCTTCTTCTGTACATACAACAACTGTGTCTTTTACTTCCACTTTTAGCTTCTTTCCGTCTTCCAATTTGACTTGAGAGCGGTATTGGTCATCGATGTCGGTGAAGGACTCCAGATCTCCAGTCATGTGGTTACTGCACCACTATCCACCATCTAGGGAAGCTGTGATTTTTGCTCATCATTCAAGCATGACAAGGACACCATATTGCTTTCTTCATTTTTGGTGACGCTTGACTCACCTTCTTCTTGCTTGTTCTGGAACCAGCAATCTCTCTGGGAGTGGTTTTGAATTCTGCACTTGGTGCATTTGAATCTGTAGTCTTTTGTTGCATGGCCCACCTTTTTGCAAATTATGCAACTCGAGCCTGTGTAGCCCGATTTTTGTTGTTGATAATTTTGTTGATTGTTTCCTCTGTAATTGGATCTTCCTCTTTCTTGAGAGTTTCCCCCTCTATGGTCGTGCTCCGATTTGGCATATTTACTTTCCGCCATATTGATTTTTGACGAGAAAGCTTTCTCCAATGACGGTTTAGTGAAACAACTCATTCTTTGCTCGTGTTCTACAAGTGAGCCCATCAACTCGCTCATTGATAAATTTGCCAAATCTTTGGTTTTTTCAATGACAGCAACAATATGCTTGAACTTTGATGATAAGCTCCGGAGAATTCTCTCCACGACCTTCCTCTCTTCCATGACATCACCAGTAGCTTTGATCTGGTTGATTGTCTCCGCAACACGCGAATGGAAGTCTTTGATGGTGTCGGTTTCCTTCATCATCAAGATGTCGAACTGGCGCCATAAACTTTGTCGCCTGATGGAGATCGCCTTTTCAGAACCTTGAAATTGTTCACGCAAGACATCCCAAGCTTCTTTGGCCTTTTTGATGCCATAGATTCTGGGGTAAATTGATTTGCTCACTGCTCGCTGAATGATTCTCAAGGCGCTGGCATTTTGCTTGGCATTCTCCTTGTACTCCTTTGTCTGTTTGCATGCTCTTCTTTTCTGAGTCTTCATCCTTGTCTTTTGGATCTTCATATCCTTCTTGGACGATATCCCTCAGTTCTTGAGAGATTAAAATTGGCTCCATTTGGGCACTCCAGTACTCGTACAACTCTCCATCGAAAATGGGAATTTGATTAGAGGAGGTAGCAAACATGGTGTTTGATGAAGTTGTTGTCATGGCTTTTTGAGAAAGTTTGTGTAGGCTAGAAATGGGGATTTTATAGAGGATAAAGGGTATTAGCTATGCTACCAAATTTGTTGGGTATTAACGGAAGTAGTGATGATTTTGGATCAAAACAAAGGAAACAATTGGTGTGTAATCACTCTTTTTACAATTCACTCAAAACAAAAAGGCTTATTCATTTGGATATTGCCTTACACGTACATAAGCTTAGCTTCTTTCTTTCTTTCTTTTTGTTTTCTATTCTTTTCTCATACTTCTCTGACAACTTTCCCAATTTCATACTTACAGATATATATAATTGGAATTGAGACAAACTAATAATACATCACATGCATACTTGGCCCTCTACTTCATTCACCCACGTTGCTTCTTTG